GTAAAATTCAATGTGTTTTACTGTGCTTTGTGGTTAATGGTGCAGGCTCATAGGGCAAGTAACCACTTTGGTTGGGGGAAAGATGTTTTCTTTCTCTAATCCCCGAGCACTCTCCTTCATCACATTTCAGTTTCTCCTCATCAAACTTATTTTCCTCTGATACTCGGGGTTGGAGGCAGGGCAGCAGCTAGCTCCTAATTTGGGGTCTTACAAAATATAAAATCTCATAGCAAGTTTCCAAAGAGCACAGATAAACCTCACTAACAAGCAGATAGTCCCGTGATGGTGAAGCTATGTCATGCATGCAAGAAGTGGCACGCAGCACCCTCTCTGATGGCACATGAGCTGTCACCCCATTTCAGTTCTGCCACCCATGAGCGTATGCCTCCTACCGGCCAGCTAGCCTTTGGGTCTCTGCCGCACATGCGCAGAAGGGGCAGGTGTGGGGGGGGCACAAATATGCGCTGATCGTTTTGTCCTTTCCTCCAAACGCTGAAAGAAAAGTTAGAAATTTTCTGGAAGAGCCATATTTGGCAGTGCTTGTCCTCCAACAGATGTTGGGATAATTAATCGTGCCTCTTTCAGATATTGAAATTAGCTTTAAGAAGCATAATCCACATCTGTTGTTGGATGATCAACAGATAAATAAATAAAAGCAGCACTGTTTTTATTTCTCTATCTCTGATGTTCTTTGTAGCATTGGCAAGCTCATTTACTTGAATATCTGAAGAGGAATGAATATATTATTCTTCCTATTCTAGTGGTCCTTTGAACAAATTGCCAAATTGAATCTTTCAACTGCTATATTCCAATCATGGAACTGATCCCATTAGGCTTCTGTTATAACTATTAAATCACATTTGGCTTCCTTTACCCAAAGTTCAAGCTCATTTTATTATTCATATTCTAAACATAATTGTGCAAACAACAGCCATAACTTTATGAACCAATGTTCTTTCTGATTTTTCACTGTAAAGTTTAATAGGCTCATTACAACAATATTTTGCAGAAGAATCTTATCTATGAGCCCAGCTGATCCAACAAAACTTACCCAATCTTGGCTGAATCTGAAAAAAATTAATCAGGATGGTCAACAAGACCATAGACAAGCCCAAACCTAACCTAACCAGTCCACCCCTGCTTAACTAGCTAGGCTTAAAGAATATAGGGCTATCATCTTCTCCACTGAAGGTTCTCCATCTTCTCCAGAGAAGGACCTTACTGATGTTCAATCAGATTCACTCTTGTCTTTCTCCAAGAACACCACAGTCATTGCTTCTAGTATTTCATCTCCCAGAGATCTTTGGAAAACCAAAGCCCCCCAAATCAGCCGACAGACAGCATTGGACCTTCGATCATTTGTGACAAGTCCCTGGTTGCAATGGAGGCCATGAACTCACAAGCCATCACAGATTTAACATTGCCAGGAAAGTTGCAGTCACCAAGGACCATAATCTTTGGGATCTCCACTACTAAGCTGGCAATGGAAAACAGAAGCAGAGATGATGTTTGGCAACAGGGAAAGTGGTATACCAGCAATATCCCAATGGTTTCTGAAGGTTCAACTTAAGCTAGAGGGTCTCATAGCCAGTTATCTGCAGGCATATATGTAGATAATTTTTGAT